CGCGTACCAACCGAACAATGTCCATTCACCGTGCAGAAAGCGTACTGCGCCAAATAGCCGCGTAATAAAACCGGAATAAAACGATCGCGGAACACCGGTCCCGAGCTCGTCACCTTACGTAAACCGACATAATAAACGCGCACGCATCCAGATTTATTTTGCATAATCGGACTAAAACGCGACTCGCGATTCCACGAAATCTACGTATCCGTCGAGACTTCGGATGAAATTTTCACACGCGAATCTGCTCGTACGTAGTTTCTCACGGGATGAAATTCCTCAAAAGTTCCGTCGGTATTCTCCTCGCTTCGAGAGACACACAATTCGCGAAAATGCCTCGTATAACGTCCGGCTACTTTAACATTCCTTAATAAGCAATCTTGTCGTTCTAGAAAGAAAATCTAAACTGACTACTAACGCGTCAGGATTTCCCAGTAGAAATGTATGCGATTTCCCTCAGACAACCAGGTACACTATCTGGTATTAACGCATTCTCATTAGTTGCAACAATACCGCTCAGCAAATGAACAAGAACTTGATAGTTTTATTCAGGTATGCTTTTAGGACAAAATTGCGCATTTCATGAGCTTACTTACTGATCAATCGAATAATTTCTTATCCATTTATTGTTCTGCTTTCGTTCAATAAATGGATCCAGATTTTGCGCATTTTTTGTGCGCAAGAGTGCGGGAAAAACGTTACATCGGCATTGGGAACCCAAGTAGTTTTGCTAGACAGAAATTGATAAACTGGTCCGGTAACTGCTCAAGAAATGCACGAAATCTCCACCAGGGTTTTACCGTTCACCTTTCGCGCGATCCACTCTACGGACTCGCGCAAAAAGCGTCCAACGTGTGATTTACTATTCCAAGTCGACGAGAAGAGTCCGGAGGGGGTCTCGAAATTTTCAACCGGGTCAGATCCTACGGATCGCCTCGCCAGAGGAGTTCCCCCGCCGTTGATCTCGCGGTTTCCCTTCAACGTTTTCTATAGTAAAGCGCTCGTGGCTCGCCGTAATCTCCCCCGAGCGTCTTCGAATCCTTTTGACGGCACACGACGTACTTAAAGAAATCTTGTATTCAGCGCGCTTTTTATCGGCGTGTGCTTAATGGATTAAGTGGTGCCGGGGGCGGCGTGTCCGGGGATACCGGCCAATTTAAATTCCGCATGAGCACCGCATCACCTTAAGTGGGTTACCACGCGACGATCGATACACGCCGACGTTGCGCGTACACACGCCGTACGATCGATCGAGTTTTCGTGTATCTCTGCCGCCGACCGGTAACGAGTTCGTACGGTTATGACTGGCGTCAGCCACGTACGCGGCACTCGCCGGACCGGATCTCACGGCCGTGGCCCCACCGTGAAATAATGGCGTGAAAAATGGCCCCGACCGGCCGGATAAGCGTGTAAGAGGCTTTCCTCGAACGCTCGCGTCGGATTTGTACGCCGGGCGTTTTTCTGCTGGATCATAGATCACCGACTCGCGCGGAGTTTCCGGCGTGGATTATTCCCGGGGCTAAACTGAGGAACTGCTCTCGGCTTTGCGCTCGCGGTTACGCTCGCGCGGATGAAGTTTCGCGGATCCGACTTCAATTTCAACGACCGATTCTCCGGCCGATTTGGCAGATTGCTTCTCGTCAAGGCGTCCGAACACCGTTACGTCGAGGTTGTTTGTCAGATTTTTATTTAATTACTGACATAATAATAATAATACTTTTTTTTATGGGACGCAGCAAATCACGGAGTCAAATAGTATTAGCGTTGTATAGCAAGCGACGAAAAAATGGAATAATAGCTGCACAGCCGATCGCGTATGAGCGCACCCCGATTGGAAAATTTTCCAGCAAAAATTAGCTTCGAATTTGTCAAGGGATCGATTGTTGAAATCGTGGCGGAGCATTCCGCACGACTCCGGTTCGAAGGGAAAAAAATTCCGAGATACATCGCCATGCGCGCGGTATTTCGAAACAAGCAAACCACGCGCTAAATCAACGATCTAAATCCCGCTCGTTTCCCCGTCCCGTTCGATCTTCGCAAACGCGGTAGTCCGTTCGGTAGTGAAAGGTCCGATCGATTATCGGCGATCGTAGATCGTGCAAAGTTCGCGAATAGCAAAAAGGGAGGGAATCGGGATCCGCGCTATGATTAGACTTTAACGAGCGGAGAGAAATCAGGGAAAGAGATATCAAGAAAGGCGCTTGATGAATGGCTTCGATCGGACCTTATAAGAAGCGGTTAATCTCGGAGGGAAGAACGGATCCTTCGGGCTTTGCAAGATTTATCGTTTCATCTCGCGAGCGCCACGAAGCCCGCTCGTCTTTATCTATTTTCTCCCCCCCCCCTCCCCTCGGTGGCTTCCACCTTCTTTCATGCGATGAAAAGGAGCAGCAGCAGCGGCTCCTCCAATTCGTACTACGTCCTATTCCTCGGCCGTGGAATGCAAATCCCACGAGCGTGAAAAGCGTTCGGCCGAAAATTGATTCGATCCGCGCGTATCGCCAAAGTGGCGCGAAAGAGATAACGGAAAGAGGAGGGGGGAGGGGGGCTACTAGTGTGTCTTAAATTTTCCAACGAGCGGATTAAAGGCGGCTATCAATTTCTAAAGCAGATGAGACGCGTGTCCTGGAATTTTTTTTCGGGGCATATCGGGGCTTTTGTTCTTTCTCCCTCTCTCTTTCTTTCCTCTCGATCGAGCGAGTGAGCAAGCGCTGTCACTGCGAGACACGGCCCTCCTTTTTCATTTCTCGTCTCTCTCGACAGAAGAAAAAGGATTAATGGCCTCATAGCATGACACCGCGACGTGATAAGATCGCGGGCTTCCTTTAGCCGTCGGCTGCCGAGCGCCGGCGATCATATCGGCGACATCCGAATCGCATCGTGTATCTCCTAAAGGAGCACGTGAGACGCGCTTTTATCGATTCATGATTGTGCACGGACGAGTTTCTCCGCTTGATGTGCCTTGAAAAGACACCTCGCCCTTACGTGTCTCGTTCCCTTTTACGAATGTATTCGTCTTTCGCCTCTCGTGTGAGATTCGTAATGGAATCTCTTCGTAAAATATCTCGTGTAAGCGAAAAAGATCTCTGCCCAACATACACGTTTCGCGAAGGGGTCGTTAAATCAAAATACTACTTTAACCCTTTAAGGCCCAGTAATATACATAATAATGTACATTAACTCGCGGCCTCCCCCTAAATTTCGTCCGTTGGTAAAGTAATGCTTCCGCCGATGTGATATTATCAATCCATCGTAAATGAAGCTGTATTCCCCGTCCAAACTAGTAATGTCTTTCTACCTGAAGGTCGATACATGCCACCGTATGTTTACATCAGATTATACTGAGACAAAAACGTAAATATATCCTATTTATGAAAATGTTATCCGATGTTCTTCAACGACCATGTTATAAACGAACGGAAGATAAATATTTTTTTCAATATAACAATTCTAATATCTTCTCACTTTTACGCTATGAACGCCCAGTGCACATAATTACATACATTCAAAAATCCGTACTTCTCCACGGCCAATTTTATTCGGACAAACAAATTGTTATCAGTATTATCCTTCAAGACGATCTTATACATTTACATTTTACTCCAACGAAATCGTTGTATGGATATTAAAAAGGTTAGAAAAATATTCCCCAACGTTGTACCAATATCCATTATCCTCGGGATTAGTATTTTCTCACTGGAGGCATCGAGCGTATCCGATAAGTCCGACGTTGGCGACGTTTCGCCAAACGACCGCTCATAAACTCACGATAAGGGATAAGGCACCGCGAAAAACGTCTCGCACGCAATACGCCGTAACTCCCGCGGCAATTTCGGTAGCAATTTCGCGAGTATACGTGCAGTCGGGCGTGCAAGAAGTGTCGTGGATTGAATATCCGAGGGGAGACAGTAAACCGCGCGGTCGCGGCAGGCTGCGCGTCTGCCGCGGAGGAAAATCGGGATTTCACGGACGCGAGCTCCGGCTCAGAAAGAGAGAGAGAGGGAGACGCGACAGAGATCCTAGCTATAAAAACCTATCATACACTCGCACGGGATAAGGGAGACATATATACGAGGGAATAGCGCGAAACTCGCGATGCGGGAAGACACCGCGGGGAGGCATTAAAAAGAATAGACGCTATCGGGCATTTCCTTCGCGCCTCTTCGCCTCCACCGTCGAACAGCTCGCAAAAGCGAGGCGATCCCTATTTCACTTTAAACCCGCAGTTACCGGGACGTATGCACGCTCGAGTTCGCCGGGAGCCGCTGCCGCCACCTCCGCCTCGCGGATGCATAAATTCGATAAGACCACCCGTTAGTGACGGCGCGGCACGGCTACGTTTTCTCGCGTGAAGACCGCGAAGAGAGAAGAATAAGAGAGAGACGGAAGAAGAAAGAAACTCGCGAAAACGATCTTACCCCCTTCTCATCCTCTCCTCCTCCTCCTCCGGTTTTTCTTTCACTGGCGCGTTTAATTTCATCGCAAGAGACCCACCGGAAGCTTCAAAGACGGGGCGAATTTCACGCCCGCGGCGTTTTCGCGCGTTGCTGCCTCTCTGCGGCGAGCGAAACGCGCCGAGCTACGCTCGTTATTGCCATTGTTGCAAATTACTACTGTTGGGCTATTACGACTTTAGAATAAATCCCGAGGGACATCTTTTTCTCTTTCTCTCTCTCTCTCTTCCGGCTGCGACTCGGTTGACCGAACGCGAAGGGCGCGCGTAATAAGTTGACTTTCGGAGAAGCGTGTAATTACGGTTTGCAGGTTCTAAATTTAGATCAAAGCAGGTGGTCCGCGAGAAATATGAAAGTAGCACAGTTATAAGGATAATTCAATGTACGAAGACAAATTTGCTTCGCGTAATATCGTCCAAGGAGCATTCTTTTCACAACGGCGGACTCACGCGATCGTGTTCGTCAAGAAAAAAAAAAAAAAACGGCGGGAGTGATTGAGAGATAGCAGGCGAAAAGCAGAAGAATGAGGTCAATTCGTAAACTCACCGGTCGTCGTTGCGGCTCCGGGCCTTGTCTGACGATCTCCAAGGGCGAAGGTATCGACGGCTTGCCGAGATACCAGTCCTCGCGCGGGTTATAGTTGTCCAGGAGCTTCAGCAGGCGCGGCACGTTCACGTAATTGTCGTCGTCGAAGTGGCAGAACCATCTGAAACATGCGATGGCGAAACGACGCGATGTAATGACAAATCCCAGCGGCGACTTCTTCGAAGCACCGTTCGAACCGGCGTGTATCGCGGGCGAGCGGGCGTTGCACAATAACGACGGGGAACTCGTAATTTCTATCGTGATTGAACCGTCGACCTCCGACGCGAGCGGGCCGCTCCGTGCGAGAAAGCGACGACGAAGCGCGACCTTACATCTCGCTTTAATAAGGATTACGCGAAGATAAAGATTCGCGCGCGCGTTCTTCGCTCGTTCCTCTCGCCCGCCGAGTTGGAAATTAACGATTCAACAGATGCGCATCGCGCCCTTCACTTATTCAGCCGTAACACCTGCGGAACTTCCGTTCGCCAGCATTTCTCGATAACGAGGACGCGCCGCGCAGCTTAGAGATACTCGAATAAGACCACGGAAACTTGAAGCATCCCGCTTTGCTCTCTCTCTCTCTCTCTCATGGGATTAGTCGCATTGCCGTGTACCCGATGTTGAGCAGTTTGAGAGCTACACGGAGAATACCAGAGTCGTAGCGGTGTAGTTTTCGTAAGGCAACTAACGTAGCCGAAATCAGGGAGCCGGCGCACCACGTTGATACACACCGATTAAAACGGAACAGCAATAATCCCGGGACGTTTCTTAACTCCCGAACGGCGGCGGATGGCGTAATAATCGCGCGCTCGCCGGATACCGGGCATGTACGTTCTTCTATGTTAAGTCAACACAAAACGGATGTACATATTGTTGAACGCGAATAAGATAAATAACGCTTATACACGTTTTGTATTGATCCACGCAACGGTCTCATGTTGATATTTGGTGTTATGCAAAGAAAACAGTTTCCCTCGGCTCTTCGGGAAACAAACTAATTAACAATCGAGATCTGACCGACGAGTCACCGTGGTTTTTTTAGTGATTCACATATTATTCTTCATAACATCACAATGTTTGTAATGTAGACTCTCTTCGGTGAATTAACAACAACGTGTGCACAGTGCTCGAAATGGTGGCTCTTGTTGATCAGGTATGTTAATCCTTTTAACGAGACACTGATTATTACTACACAGAGAAAAATAGTTTCGTCCTTAGGATACATTAATTTGCTGTTAAAATAAAATAGTGCTTTCCTATGTATAGTTACTAATTATTGTTCTTAGAGTAAAGTAATTTACAGATTCAGCAAAATAATCCAGCGAATGGCAATTGGTGCTCTTAACAAGTCGTATCGCTTATAAGAAAACATAGTTTCGGCGTCAAGCATACCCTTTGATCACGCAAATAATCAAGAGAACTATTTTTTCTAACAAGTGTTACTATAATGTCAGTGATAAAAACCTTACTTTATATGCGTGTTGCTACTACCATAAAATATGTTTGCCGCCCAAACTATAACTTTCTATCCGAGTGTCCGCATAGTAACCGACAGATTTTGCCGCGCCGGCAAATGATTTTTCTCCGTGTTCTCTCTTTAACAGGTGATTTCAACGTTCGATCGCGCCGTATATTAGAGCTTCGAGGTGATTTTACTGCAATTCCCTCGAGGGCCAATCCCACCAGCCTTCCGGTCGACCCCGTCACCCACGAGCGGTGTGGTTGCAATCAGAGTAACAACCCCGCGAGCGCGGCGGCAACACACCGCGACGCAATTGTACGCAATCGCGCCCCCCCCCCTCCCTCCGTGTAAACCCTTTCCCAGCGCGGCCGACGAGTTCGTGTTGCCGGCAGTAAACGTCGTGTAGCTCCGAGAGGCGAGCGCGTAAGATAGGCGAAATAAAATCTCTCTAACGAACGGTTCCGCCGTGGCGGTTGCCATTAGCGTGCTACCGGGTGGCCACGGGTGGTCGCTACGTACCTGCCACGCTGGCGCGCGGCCCGGCCGTCGTTAATACACCTGAATTCCAGCTTAATGGCGTAGCCGAGGCTTCTACACCGGCGAGGAGCCGCGCCGAGGAGCGTAGCCGAGGCTGAGACCGAGGACGTTCGCATACGATCGCGAGATCGTATCTCCCGAGCGCGAGAACGCGGTGCGTTTGCGGATCGGTGCACGCGTTCGTTCCACCCTCGTCGAGTCATCGCGCGCGAATCGATGCGACAATGCGACCGGTAAATATGCGCGCTTCGAGAATATCAATGCGACGCCGCCACGAAGACACGCCCGGTGCCTAGAGACCCCTATGGTAAGAGTCTGGCCGGAGTCGCTAGTTCGAATGAACATGGTAATAAGTAAACGAAAATAGTGTGATATTGTAAAAATATTGAATTATAAATACCTCTCGTAAATGAGTAAAGTAACTTATAGTATAAGTGTTATAAAAGATAAAGTGAAATATATGGGAAAAAATAAGATTATAATGCACACTGTTGCAAAAATTCTTTCCTAACCTTTAATATTGCATTCAACGTTCATTACAAGTTATTTAAATTTTGCAGAAAATGCCCGGCGCGTCTAATTACAAGTTGTAAGAACCGCTAATTACGAGCAAGATATGAGGGTGCCTTCCTTAATTTTTAAACAATTGTCGAAAAAATAAGAATCGTCACACGTCGTGCAAATTTCTACTCACATTGACAAAATGCAGATTCATATGAACAATGCCCGCTTAAATGTGCTATAAGATATACATGTGAGATCTGACTATGAATATCGATCTAAGATTTGTAGTAATAGAACTATGGCAATATGCATATATGCTACTATTAAATAATATTATTTACTTTTTAATTAAAGTTATATATGTATTTTTACGAAAATAAAACTGTTAAAAACAAGTTTGTATCCTTACAGTTCCATTCCCACCAGTTGAGTAATATCGCGCGCAAAATATAGATTCGAGATATATTATCGGTTCCGCCATATTTTATCGAAATTAATAGGATAGAAGACAATTCAGGCCAGACTCTTACTACAGGGACTCTACATGTAGTCAAGCCGAGCTCTGACCTCTTGGTGTTGGACTGAAGGTCCCAATGGACAAGGACGAGTGAAACATTTCTTTCTCGCTAACGAGACACTAAGCTTCAGTAAAGCCTTGAGATTTGTTCGACTAAAACTCGCTAATCCTTTTATAATCGTTCCCATCGTCTCTGGGTATAATGTAATATGATACGATATGTCGAGCTGTCGAAATGATAGATCAGACGAATGATCAGCAGTTTCTACAACATTCTATATATGCCTATCCAGATGCGAGGCGAAAGATTAAAAAGATTAGTGGAATTTTGACCCTGGTAAGCGTTAAGGCTTTATTGAATCTTGGTGTACGCGGCAGGCGATCTTAAACGGCGTATTTTGAAAGAGACAGTTTATTATACGGGGATATCGAGAGCAACATATTTTTTCTCCAGAGCGAAGACCGGTTTAACGATTAGCTGTGACTTGAAAGTCGCGGCTATGTTCGCAATTATTTTCGAGGAGCGCGTGCTCTGTTATTATTTAAAAATTCAAACCGGGGATTTGGAGTGACAAGGGCCCGACAAAGGATAGCCCCCGCGATGTATGTAAAATCGACCATGATCTCGTATCTGCGATCTGCATATATATTAGAAACTACCTGCGGCCGGCCGGCGTGTAAACTCGCGGGGAAGAAGAACTGGCCCGAAAGAAGGGAAGAAAGGTGCGAAGTTTCTCTTATTTCTCTTCTCAAGTGGACAACGCTCGCGTAGTGTGCGTGGCCCCTCGCGATTTGCTTTACCCGACGGAGAAATGGCCGTACATGAATATGCAGACACGTGCGCCAAGCTTTGCGACTTATAACGAGCGCGAAACAGAGTGGCGGAATGTCCGTTCCTAAAAAAAAAAAAGCGAATAATTACGACGACGTAGATATAAGAAAGCGTGAGGACGAGAACTCCTTTCCTTTCAACTCTCTCTCTCTCTCTTGATTACACTTAAAAATAAACATACGTCGGACGAATTCATTAAACCACACCGCGCGACGCGGAAGCGCTCGCGCACTTTTACAAACGCGACGTTCCACTTTAGAGGTAATAATAATCGGTTAACCAAAAACGCGCGACAATTATACTTTATTTGGAAAGAAATCGCGCGCGCAAGTATGGTGGCTCACGGCCGATATTTTAAAAGCCTTTTTTAATCCGTTCATCAATGCCGCCTCGTAAAATCGGGTTGGCGCCTTTAATTAAATGTAACACCGCGAAAGTATCACACGACTCGGAGGAGCCGGCAGCTGGTCAAAGAAACAATTAAATGCGTTCCGTTTCTCAATCGTGGGTCGTTAGCCGGACGATTTGGACGCCCAATGAATCCGGTGATAAATCGTTCGCCATATCGATCGACGCGCAGGCAGATCCGTGTTCGGATATATGATTTCTATTAAGAGTAACGCCACAACGCTCGAATGTCATTAATAATACATTCGAATATCGATAGATACTAATGACCCCTCTCAATGGATCTGAAGGATTTAAACGATTGTTCGAAAATACTTCGCCGCGCAATAAATCACAATCCTTTGCCGGGAGTGCCGGGATTAAGCGATTTGTTTGCGGAGGTTACACGGGAAAAACATCCCCAACGGCGGTGAACTATTATCGAAAATTCCTCTGTAATAAAACATAGGCTAATCATGCCAATATCCAACTGTCAGTGAAATTCGACTAATACATCAAGAATCGTCAGGCCACGGTTTTTAACTCGGATACATGTCTATAATATAGATATTTTTTTTTACTTTGTAGCTATAGTTTTTCTTTTCTATCGTACTTGTTATAAGAGGTATAATTTAATAAATAAATTTCAGAGGAATGATACCGTTTACTTTATTTTTCACACGCTCTACCCTACTTCTCTATCCTTTTCCCTTCGTTCTTATTAATTCGCAGCGCAAGCTAATAAAATATGTTAACATAAGGCACACATTTCCGACAATAGACAGACTTTCGGAGGCTCTATTTAAAAAGACTCCCTTTAAAAGCGCCACTTCGGGCATACTTGGCTCGAGTGCGTGCGCGTCGAACGAGCCGAGCGTACCG